ACTATATACTATATACTATACTATACGATACTATAGTGTACTCTACTAGTAGTATACGGTTTGCAGAATGAAGCTGAATTTCCAACGTTGGTCTCTGGAGGGAAGAGAGCTCAGAGCCCGGACGGACAGATCACACACGATAGCTTAGTAGGGCTTAGGGTTTAGGGGTTTAGGGTTTCGGGTCCTGTTAGTCTTCTGGGCCTTCTGACATCCACCGGAAAACGAACCATTCAGAGCTCCAATAATTGGTGACACAGTATGCTTGACTAAGAATTCTGAGTCCAGGTGATGCATAGCAAGCAGCGAAAATCTCGTACAATACAGATAGTTCGTCACGGCAACTCGTCCTGGAGCTTGGCTTTGCAGGGGTCTGTAGGCCTTGGACGTAGACGTATAAGACACGGTTGAGGGTGCCTGCGGGCACAGGGAACCGCCTGCACTGTCGCAGGCCTGTCTGCAAAAGGTTCCCATGGCCCGACCCTCCGCTGGGAGCTGCCTCAAGCATCGATGGCCGCGCGGCAAGACGGTCAGACAGAACATGGCGGGTTATCAAAACACAGAGTGTCAACAAATGATGGAGTCAACGAGCCAGGGCAGGCAGGCAGGCAGGAAGGTAGTTAGGCAGGTATGTAGGTAGGTAGGCCGGTAGGTGTTTAATTCTTCTGTGTTTGCTTGTAGCAGTTCGTTTAACATCCTGATCGCATAGCAGCGGATGGTAAACAAGCACGGGTACCAAGCAAATCCCGTAAACTACAGTCAAGCTTATGCCTAACGAAGCCGATGCTCACATCTGAAACCTCACTCTCGTTGATGTTGTGTGGCCCCACGATCTTGCGAGCTTTGGTGTTCAACAGTGCAAGCGGTGTTTCGAGCTTCGATTGCAACACGGTCCTTGTCTTCGGGTGAGCATCTGCTTCTGTGCGTGTGTGTGTGTGTTGTTTTTGTTGTTTTTCTCTCTCTCTCTCTCCCTCTCTCTCTTTCTCTTTCTCTTTCTCTTTCTCTTTCTCTTTCTCTTTCTCTTTCTCTTTCTCTTTCTCTTTCTTTCAGTCTCTCTTCCTCTCTCCGTGTCTGCACCAGACGGCCATGCCTTGTCTTCTCTGGTCTCGCGCTAGCTCAGTCGAGCCCGTCTGGTGGTGTCTGCGCTGCTGAATCCGTTAGAGTCAGACGATGGCACCCCAAAATTCACAGTTTTGCCCTTTCACCTCCCCCTTTCAGCTGGCAATCTAAACTCCAAGGATCGAGCGCTTGGCGGAGAAGGACATGGATGGCCCGGTGATCGGCCTCCAGATCGAGGGCTTGGCTGCGTTCGGGCGCATGCACAAGCTGAAGAAGGCTCCGGCGACTGTGGCCGGACGACTTGGGCAGTTCTCTAAATCAGGGTGCCTTTTAGGGGTCCTTTTTATGAGGGTCGCTACTCACGAGCTGAGCTCGCCAGCAGGCTGTGGTCACAGTCATCGCGGCACAGATGTCGGAAGAAAGGACACTGGGGTCGTGTGGAAAAATTTGTCGAAGCATGGCCGTCCGATACATGCATCCTTCAGTGTGCGACTGCTAGGATAGATGAACTGCGTCGGATGTTCATGACAATGGACAGAAATGTGCTCCACCTGGTTGCTGCTTCACACCCTGCCCGGAGCAACCATCGGGATGATCCCTGGAAGCGCCAGGGAGACGGAACTTTGACGGTCGTGGAGGTCAAAGATGCCCTGGACAAGGCTGGTAGTCACGATCCATGTCCAGTCTTCATTGCGCCGTTGCAGACGACGAAAGCAGGATTCAAGTCGATGGGCCTTGAATCGGATCCGTGCGTAGCTCATATTGCAACACATCTGGCCGCAATCATAGCCTTGGCAGGCGGGCATCGCAATGCCCGGCAACATGGAGCAGCTGTTGGGCGAGGTCGGAAACGCAACCCATTCCACAGCTTTCAGTAGCAGCATTTGCAAGTGAATCTGCCGTGCAGGCATGTCTAGGCTGCAAATCAGGCTGACACAGACGGCTCGGGAGTCATCGACTACACCGAGTTTCTGGCAGCAACTCTGGACAAGAAGGTGTATGTCCAGGCCTGCACACTCAGTAGTAAAGGACAGGCATGAGCCTGGCTGATGCGAGGAAGATATCGTTTGGACAGCATTCAAAAAGTTCGACCTGGACAACAACGGGAGCATCGACATGAAAGAGTTGGCACAGGCCAGGCGATGGACCCCGGATTACCTTGGCGAGATGCTTCGCTATAAAACCATCTAGTCCACAGTGTCCACCGTGTCCTTCCTGCTTTCTACCTCCCCTTATCTCCCCTCTGTCGGGGCGACGTGTCTTGAAATCCAGCGGTCGGGGATGTCGGTCCTTTTTGTGGCGTTGATGCTCAGACGATTCTTCTGAAGCTTTCTCCGAGGCCTCGCTCTGGCCTCTCTGACAAAGCATGTGTCGCTCGACAGAGGTCATCGGTGACGAGCAAGTGGTGGAAGCCATGAACCTCAAAGACAGCGCCAAAGATGCATTGTGGTGAAAGAGTGCATTGGTCAGTCGCACTCCTCTGCCGCAAGAAGTCCTCCTCGAAGACCACAAGGTGGGGATGTGGGCAGTTTGGTCCACATCTTCGAGCAGGTGGACAAGAATGGCGTACGGAACTCATGGGCCAGCAGGGCTAAGAGCAGTGTGGTGTTGCGATAGTTGTTCATCATCAGGACGGCAAGATCGACTTCGACGAGTTTTTCCAGATGATCCGTGGGGTGGAAAACAGCTGCCAGTCGCCTTCTGGCTCCTCCGCACCTAGCATCAAGCTTGGCCGTGATTCCCCGACCCACAAGCAGAAGGAAGAGCAAAGGCTTAAGATGAGCAGTGCCCCTGGCATTTGTTGGCTCGGCTTGGTGGTTTGCGCAGGGTCTTGGCAGAGAGCACGCGCCCCGCGACAGGCTTGCTGGAAGACTTCGACGAGGACGATGGCGGCAAAGTGCAAAAGAAGGCACGGCATTCCCGAAGCACTTCCAAGGCACTGCAGGTCCCCCATTCCAAGTGCTTGTCCAGTGTCGCGCGCAGGCCAGCTTGTCTGCAAAAATCCTGTACTGATGGGGGACAAAGCGCCCTTTCTCTGCTCCGGTCATGAGAGTCCGCCTGACCTGAAGCAGATGCCAAGGCCTATTTAGCTACGGAGAGATTGTTTCAGGTGACCGGCAGCCAGGGAGTCGCAGAACCCAACTGCGAAACATACCCTGTTTCACGCTCGGTGCGAACCGTGTCCTCGAAGAAAACGCTTGTGTTGGCTGACCACGGACTCTGTGTGCGCAGAAGGAGTCAGGGAAGGAAGGCTACGGTGCCTCCGTGGTTCTTGTACCTCTTTGAACAGCACCGGAGTCAGAAGCAAGACGATTGCAAGGTGAGTTCCCGGGTGGGTACTTCGTTTAAACCATGTCGAGAATGCGCATATGACGGTCAGCTGGTGCTGCGGCTTTTGAGGGGATTCGGGTGGGTGTCGCCAGACAACAATTCACTCCCCAAACCCGTGGGAATACGGCCAAGGACTCACAGATCCCATGTTTGTGTGGTGTGATGGGTTGCGCTTCTTGGGAACGAGTTTGCATAAGAACACTGTGGGCCTCAATGAGCTCTGAATCCGTAGATCTGCACATCTGAAACTTAGGTGTTGAGGTGTCAGTGTCCTGCCTGCCATTCAAGATTGGTTGTGGTTCGGGCCGGCAGTGCATTTCGCACTGCACATTTAGCTGTTGTTATCTGTTATGCCGTGCCTTCGTCAGAGTGTGGCGCTGCTTGTGGCTTTTGATTGCCAGCTTGGCTCAATTCCGCCGTTGTCAGCCAAATGCCAGTCCGACCCCTGCCTGGTTTCCAACGCTGGCTTTTCGCAGCCTTCGCTGTAACCTGTGGAGTTGCTTTTCGCCACGATCGTATCGGTGGCGCTGTCTCAAGCAACTGCGACCTACACGATGGATGCGAGTGTTGGCAGCAGAAGGATCCCAGTGCTTGCGGGGGGGGGGGGGAGGGCTTGTGCAACCGGCGCATGCAACATCGCTGTAGGTTCGATTGTTCCCTGGGACAGGTCTGCAGCTCGTGCACACTCTCAAGGTGCGGTATCGATCATGTTCTAAGCGTTCGGCCTCTTCAGGGTGGAACCAATCGCTTGCGCCCGGATTTGGCAGCAGCCTATGGTTTAGAGGATTCTCTGGGTAGACACTGGGCGCTGAAACTCGCGGACCAGGAGAACGGCTCCTACGACCGTTCCGTCCTGGCTTCCCAGCTAGCCCACACACTCAAAGTACCAACACCACGGGTGCTACAGGTATCCATGGCATCTTGCCCTGCAGTGTTTCAGCACAAGGACTTGCAAGAGGTAGTGGCAGAGTTCCAACGCCAGAAGAGGCACTGGGCGTTGTTGCAGGACTGAAACTAAGACACACTGTTAGTGGAACTGCAACTTCCGGTGACAAAACCAAGCTGGGCTGCTAGCAACTCTCAGGAGTTTGTGAGCGAGAACCAGGACCTCCAATGCGCTGCGAACCTTGAGCCGTTTTGGGTGCAGGTGGGTCAAATAGCCATGTTTGACTGGATTACTGGCCGCAACGATTTGTTCAATGACTTATTGGTGGGTGGAGAGACAGCCCTGGCAGACAATATGGAGGTCAACAAGGACAATATTAAGACGACGCCCTCGCAAGCTGTAGAGATTGATTTAGGCTTCTCCGAGCCCTGCTGTTTGGACGATTTCGTCGAGATTTTAAGCCAACTGGGACAGAGGAGGGTGGCCTGGGTTCCCTCGCACATCCTGGTACTGATGTGTGGCTGGATTCTTGTTAAGGGGCTTTTGTTTGAAGTTTAAGACCTATATAGTAAATAATGTGGTTTCCTTATTATGGTAACTTCATCTAAATCCCTTACAAGAGCCCAGGTGAGGGCAGGAACGGCGGCTTGGGCTCCCAGATGTGCTCCTCGGCCTTCGGAGACTACTCGGCCCTGAGGCCCAAAGGATGGCATCCGGAAATCTCCAGAATCCAGGCGGGGCGGTCCGACAACTCCTTAAAGCTCTCCCACCGAATCCGCTAAGCCGCTATAGGGCCATGTATTCGAAGATGTTTTTGGCAGGTCCTTTTCAGCATTCCTCCTGCCTCGCCCTGCTCAGATCGAGCGTGGACTCGCCCAAGTCGCAACCGCGGTCCTGAACTTGACAGGCAAAGTGGACAACCTGCTGTTTCTTTGTAGCAGCTTCCTGTAGCTGTATGATTGGCCAAACAGCCGACACCCAGTCCCAGACAGATGCAACTCGCTGTGCAAGGCAGTCAGGCCTGGTCGTACCCTGTGTCGGCAACCTTAACGCTCCTCCAAGAGAAGTGGTCGAAGAATGGCGCGCAAGCTGTGGTTGATCGGCTACGAACAGAGGCCTTTGATTCGGTACCGTTGGCATTTCTTTCGCGGCATAGTTGAAGCGCCCACAGTTGCAGGGATTATGTACGGGTATTTGCAGGAGGAAGCGGCGACTGAAGTTATCCCGACGGACCAAAAGTGCTGCAGTGTGGCGTGTCAATACAGGAGTCGTTTCTGGACGTGGCACCACTGTGGCTTGGAGGAAAGCTGAAGTCGCCCACACACACACACACAAAATCACGGACAATCTCATCTGCAGGCACACTCGAAAATGTTGAGAACGTTCGTTCTCGTAGGGTTTCTCGCAGCTCCCGATCTCACGAAGACATTTCTATTTTTCTCTGTCTTGCACGTAATGCGCAATGGGATTGCTGAAGAAGGGTAGAGTGCCGAGCAACCTGCCTAAATTGTGCTCATATCGAGGGGTGCTTTGACGATCTGAACCCGACTCACCTGTGTTGAAACCCGTGCTCCTTTTCAGCTAGCACAGGACTTTCCATGCCCATATTGTTGCGGGTGTCTCATCACGAGGATCTCCGGTTCACTAGCGGCCAGTACTTGGAGCTTGTCAGCTCGTCGAAGGTTTGTTTGGGCAGCTGATGTTTGGGCCCTGTCCAGCATTTCTAAGGTGGAGAAAAAGCTATGAAGACAGTGATGATCGAAGATGCCTGCAACATACGACTCTCTGTGCATCGGCTGCACGGGCAAGCAGCTGGTAGGCCGGGTTGGCCGAGTCACGCCTGTGTGCTTTGAATGCCAGTCTCCGGATCCTAGGCTATCTCGATGATGCTGCACTGCTCTCCAGTCTGCGGCGGCGCCACGAAAGTCTGGGGTACCGTCAAGGAGAGCAAGGGTAGTTGCCCGGCTGGGTAACGGGAATTCCCGGATGCAAGGAAAAGGCATCTGCAAACACAGCATGTGACAGAGGCTGTTAGAGAGAAGAGCAGTCGTTATGCACAGATGTTCGTGCAAACTTCCGCATGGACACACAAGTTTTGCCGCAACTTGGGCTAAATATGCGTGCTCAAGGGAGCATTGTGGGATGGCAGGGCAAAACCGAACTTCGGTCTTGCCCTGTGTTTGGAGTTTGGAGTGCATGGTGACAGCTCGTATCCACATCCAGATTCTAAAGCTTGAGATGCAGTTAGTGAGCCAACACTATCGTGGCAGTAACCTGATGGGAACATGTCGCACACGAGCTGGATGGATCCGGCGAGTGCTCCCACAAGCCAGGTGGTTCTTGTGGCAGTGGTGTTGGTCTCAGTCTTGTCATGTGTAACTCGTCACCAGCAACAACTTCGACGCTGGTTCAGTTGCAGAGGACTGCAAAGAACCCAAGATGTGATACCCCCCTATTGGCAGAATGCGGGCAGATCGCTGCTTGAAGCAATGGACCGTTCGAGTCCAGATTATTTCGATGACATCTACCCAGTTCCACTTCAGAATCGCAGCATTTTGCAAGGCTTCTTAAACGAAACCAGTTCGAACACAGAGATTCAGTTCAATTTGGTGCGGGCAGTTCGTGTGGAGCATTCCGGCTTGTGGTCGCGGTATCAGGACAAGGCTGCCGCAGTCGCGTCACAGCGAAAGGTGTTCAAGTTTCAGGGGACGGGGGCACCTTCGACGAATTGCGCTCTGGCTCACGTCGAAAGTGACGGCTGGGAAGGAGGTTTTGTGCACGCCTTAGACGAGAGTATCTGTGAGGCCTACTTGTTTCATGGCACCGACCCACATTCTGCATTGAAGGTTGCTCGGTGCAATATGGCAATAAGCATAGTTGAGTGGTTGAGTGCGCTCCTCAATCTGTAGCGCAAGGCCTGTCAATACCAACGGTCTCGGAAAGAGCAGTCTGATCCTTTACGTTGGGACCTGTCTCTGTTCTTTGTCTTTTGCTCCTTTGTTGTTTCTTCGCTCACCTCGCTTGGCAGATCGTGGAGAACGGCTTCGAAGTGAAGAAAAGCCGGGCCGGGAAGCGCTTCGGCTTTGGCGGCTACTTTTCGGAGGACCCGGCGGTGGCTGACCGCTACGCTGGGGAGGGCGAGGGTCTGTACCGGGCCTGCTATGCGCTGCTCCTGTGCCGCGTGCTCCTCGGACGCCAGTATCGAACCACGAAGTTTCGTGATGAGTCCGTCACGGAGGAGGCTTTCCGGCAACGCTTCGACTCCGTCCTGGCAGAGCCACATGGCCATTTGCACAGAGAGTTCGTGATCTTCGATGGCCACCAGGTCTACCCTGAGTATGCATTGGTGTACGAGCGCCTGTCGCCAGATTTCTGGATGTGCCCAAGCCCCGTCCGGCGCTACTGGGCTGACGAAGAAGCGGACACTGCCGAGATGGGCTCCTGGTCTTTACCGGCTTACTGGTTCCATGCTCGCGAGGAGTTGACTGGCGCCTTCCATGAAACGCATCCAGACCATCAGATGAAAGCAGTGCTAGAGGACCTCATGAACAAGACCTGGCTGAGTGATCCAACTGTTGGCTTACGCCCAGGACATACGGGGCATCACGAGCACGCCACTGCCAGGACCGTCGGCCTGCGAGTTCTCAAAGTCATCCGTGTGGAAGATTCCGAGATGTGGCGTGACTACAAGGCAGCACAGCGCAGGATGCGGAGCCGCAGGGGGCCACCTTCGTGTCCACCGCTTCACGTGCACACTGTCGAGGCACGTCAGACATACGTGTTTCTGATCTGCTGCAAGTTCGAGCCACTGCGGAGCAAGCCTGTATTGACTGTGTCCTGTTCCTTTGGCCGTGCATCCTCTCATACCTTATTCATACCTCCTTCATACTCCATGCCTTAGCATCGTTTGTAGCTCTTCCGGGGGATCGTGGCACTGGTGAGCTTCTTGGGATAACCAAGGTCAGGGCGTCCCATCAACTTGACAGCACCACAGTGTCTTCGGAGTGAACAGCACCATGCTGCATCCTCTTGTCTCGGAGGCCTTGCCTGAGAGGGAACATCGACGGCTCCACGATGAAGTGAACGAGGTGCCCAGCTCGGTGCCAGCTTCGAGGCTCACTGCGCCATCGAATGATGTCGGAGCTGTGCTCTAAGGTGTACTTGTTCTACGGCAGCAGTCCGCAGCGTGTGATGTACCTGACACACCACGGATTTCCGCTGGAGACGGGAGCCAGGCCCGACGAGGTCCTCTCTCCCGTCAGGGGCGAAGCGGAGGAGCTGCCGGCCGCTTCCAAGCTCTTTGGAGAGGGCGCCTGGGCCATAAAACAGCCGTAGTACCGAGCATTTGAAGCCTCAACCCTGGGCCTAGAACGGCCAGGAATTTAAGTTGCAAGGCCCAAGGCAGGGGGTGAGGGGCCCATCGGGGCGCTTTTGAAGTACCCTCCAAGGCGCATACCTCCACGAGGCGTCTTGGCTGCAAAGTAGCGAGCTTCAGATCTGGCTAAGTTTGTGCCTTCAGAGCGCCGAGGATGCCTCCGAAGCCGACAAGCTTAGCAGCGACGACAAGGGTGGGTATTATCGCGGCTACTTTGCCATGCTACTTTGCCGGGTGACCTTGGGCAACGTCCAGATGTTGCAGAGTCCTGACCCAGAAGCTCACCAACGTGTGGGACCCGATCAGGACGGATTGCGACCAAGGGGCTTCGGTCAACGAGGGTAATTGCAGAATTCTATTCAGCTGCAGGGCGATGCCTCAGAGACCGAGCGAAGAGACAGAAGACAGGGTTCAGGTTTGTCTCGCATTGTTGAAGGCACGGGGAGGAGGATTTACACCGAAACGAAAGCCACATGCTCGAGAGCAAGACTTACGCAAGGTGGCAGCAAGCAAGAAGCAGAGTTGTTGTGGTTGTCACGGTCACTTTCATTGCCGTCATCGTCCTACCTCCAGCCAAACTCCACGCGAGAACCTGGGTTTTCAGTCGGTTTGGCCTTGAAGTCTCTTCTTGCAGTCTCCGTGTCCCTGTGTTTTTAAGTTGCCTCTGGGCACCGCGAGGCCTTTGACAGCAGCTGTGGGATTTACGGAGATCCGCGCTCGAGCTGCGGCATGGCCCGGCGCGAGTTCGTGATTCGGGACACGGCGCAAGTCTATCCCGAGTATGCCTTGATCTATGAGAGACTTCAACGACAGCGAAGACCGGAAAGTGACTCCGACTCTTTGGACGCCTGGGCAGGCGAGCAGATCATCCTTCCGAGCGACCGCCTCGAGGGCCAGCGCAGCTCGGACATTTCATCGCAGGCACAGGCGAGAGAGGCTCTTGAAGCGTTTCCCACGACGGCTGAGATCTGAGGCCTACTGCTGCTGCCCTGAAAGCCAAGAGGTCGACTCACGGAGAACGGGTGGATGCACTTTCGACTACTCGCAGTAGGAGAGGGGTTGCTCAATCGTGCTCGTGGAGAAACCGCGACGAAGCGGCGAAGCCTCAGTGGAGCACAGGCTGTGAAAGCCACACTAAGATGTGCTCTGCTCATCGCTTTCAGTGGTATCTTGGACACAACGGTTGCGCAGGAGTCAAAGGTTGGGCTAAGCAGCTCCTGGTTAGGTCTAGTCACGAATACTCACCGTCTTCCCCGAGCACAGCGACCTCCTGGAGGCTTTCCGAAAGCCGCCAAACTGCGGACGCTGTTCCATCAATGTGCAGAAGATGGAAGCTGTGACTTGCAGCTATGAAAGGCTGCTTCATGAACTGGGAGATTTTGGAGGGCTTTGCTACAGACGACATCTCCATCTGCCTTCCGCACAGCGACAAAAAATTGCAAAACTTCATGCAGAGCGAGATGAGGTTTTCTTTACACAACTGCTTTGGCACGGCAGGCATCGGTGCTAGTGCATCTCGGCGCTGACTCTGCCTCGGTGGAGTGCGAGTCGAGTCGGGAAAAGAGGCACTGAGTTAGCCACGGCGTGAAACTGGAAGGCTTTGCTCGCTTGAACAGATATTCGTGATTGCTACGGAGGGCAAACTGCATGAAGTTATCGGTCGTTGAAATGACGTTCATTTGGGCTGAATCTCCACACCTCACGCACTCCAGAAACCGCAGACGTCTGAATAGTTTGCGGACATGTCGGCGTGACGTACTGGGCATGCCCCTAGCCTCGAAAGCGTAAGCATTCTTATCGCGAGCCGGAACCTCTAAACCCCAAGGGGAGAATGACTCGTTAACAAAAAGGCCCTGCAGATAGATGGTCAGCAGTAAAGTAAGCTTCGAAAGTTTCGTGGTTCGCAGTAGATCAATCAAGGAAAAAAATGCGGCAGTGTGGCGTGGAAATATGATACACTATATGAATATGTCATTAGCAACCAAGAACAACAGCCATGTTAGGAATAGTAATGACAACAACGCGGAGTGCGATGACAGCAACCGTCATAGTCACGTGCGAGTTTGAAAACACGCACTAAGCAATGCACTTCCAAGTGCCCGGCTGCAAACTGCAACTGCACCGACGCATTGCCGGAAGGTCTGAAGGAGGCTCAAGGATACTGGTAGTTACTGGTCAAGAAGGCCAGGGAGGCTTTGGACAAAATGTGTTTTGGTTGATAACCCTGGGCTCTGTCTCGCGAAAGCCCAGGGGAATTATTCACATCCGTTCCCTGTAGTAAGGATTGTTTAGGGAAGTCATTCGCAAGAAAGGGATCAGGCCCGAAATGGAAGGATAAGTCTAGCAAGCCATTTAGGCAGTATGTAGTTCGCCTGCATGGAGTCTCGATTCCCCGTGGGCATCTGGAGCTTCACGCCGCTGTGGCACTCCCGGCAGAGGAATGAGGAGCGAAACGGCACCGCTGCTGAAGGGCGCAGCTACTGTTGGCTTCGACGACAGCAGTGATGGCAACTCTTTCCGCACGTTCACGCACTCCCCCAACAAGCTTCCAGCAGGTGGTCCCTCGACGCTCTACGAGATCAGCTTGCATCGGTCACGGAAGCGGACATTGGAAAAGGGTTTTGATGCGCGGGGCAGCTTCGTGCACTTTGCCCACCGCAACCTGAAAAGCGTCGTCCAATTTCAGGATGTGCTGGACCGGCCAGGCGTTCGAAGCTTCCTGTACCGGGCAAAGTGGTTTAGGAGGCCAAGCATGGTTCGCTTGAAGAGCTTCATGACGAGCACCTTCGTGACCATTTGTTCTTTTGCGAGTCTACTCGTCGCACTATTTTGCAGCGACATATATGCATTTCTCGGCGCCCGTACCTTAGTTGTCACCCTGCAGATATGTGTTTATTATGCTGCAAGCTTGTCAAGCCTAGAGCTGCCGCCTATCAGCTAAGAACGGAAGAGGCGCCAATCGGTACAGCAAAAATGAGCAAGCCAGGAACTTGTGCGGCCGAGGCTGTTGATAGCACGCAGAGCGACATCCTTCTGTCCGCCGCGTTTGTTTTCTTCTTGCTCGAGTTTCTTGGAAATGCTTTGTCCGACAAGCCTGGTCCTCATTGCAAAGGTCACATTCGCTTCAATTGACTCTCTGGTTCCAAACCTGTGCCCTTCCCCCTAAGAAAGACAGGACTTACCTGTTGAGTTTCTTCTTCTTCATGGACTTCCTTGGAACCTTCTCGCCTGCCCTGCATGGATTCAGTTTTGGGCTTAAAGTCTAGGCCCCCAGGCCAAATGCCAAATGCCAGGATGATCTTCGACATCTCCTACATCTGCGGCGCGGATGTCACTGCCTTCGACAGGCACCCCGCACAGATGCACCTGATAGGCAGGAAAGAGTTCAACATCGCCACCATCCCTTCTGTGGTTTTGAGGCTAGATCTGGAAGAGAACAAAGGGGGGAATGGCGTCTCCTGATCTGCAGCAAGTCTTTGGGTAATATGCTGCCTTTCTTCCGCTAGGACTGTCTTCCTTGGAGGACATCTTGCGAGCACGGAGATGCTGAGGTGATGATCGTGCGAGCCGCGCGTGCTGCTCGTGTGGGTACTCGAGCCGGACGGCTCAGTCGTGCCCGGAGCTTATTTTGCTCTGCTTTTTCGAGGGGGGCTTCTAGAGACTCACGCTTCATAGGCCTCCAGGTGAAGCTTTCCCGATGTGGAGCTTCAACACACCACAAAACGCTGCCAGAGTCTGTTTGCACTCTTGCATAAGGTCGCGAAGATAGTGCGCTTTCTATCCGGCGGGGAGGACATGTCGCAAGACAATGTCCCTACCTTACGTGCAGAAGAAGAGAAGCTCGGCACGGCAGCTGACATTGCATTGCAACACAGGAACGGGCGCATGTAGGCATGTAGAGTTGGCTAGGGTTTGTATGAGGGTTTATGGGCAACAGACTGCACGCTGATTCGATCCAGACTTCGACGCAGAACCTGCTTTGCCACGACATTGCGTGTCGATCCATGCTTTCGTGCTGGTGCTGGGGAGAAAGGGGCAAGAGACCGCCATGACCAGCAGCAAAGTTGGAATCTCGCTCACATCCGCAGAGGCAGGAGGGTAACTGGCCGCAATCCCGGCGAGGAAAACAGAGTGATTGAGGAGCACATGGCCACCTCAAATTGCCATGAGCTAATTTAGCGCATTTCAATTCATTGCGGCCAACTTCGAAGGCGAAGATGGCAAAGGTCATCTCAAACAAGTTGTCCCTCTCTCAGATGCTCTGCTACTCGCTTTGGACTCCGGTTGGCTTATTTGGTGACTGCCGTTTTGCACGAGGTCCGATGTCCTCTCAATTCGCATAGCCTTCGTGGTGATACTCATCGCCGTCGTCTTCCCGCCCTCGGCTCAAGTATCACATGGGTTGCCTACTACGCTTGCTTGCTGCTGTATGTTGGACAGCTCACAGGTCTTTCAGCATCCTGGAGTATCCGGCCATGGAGGAGTCGATGTCTGCTTGGACAGACTTCCTGGCAGATGAAGTCACGAGCTTCCGGCAAGGCAGCCTCAGGGTACTTTCCAGCGAGCAGCTTTTTTTGGGTGATCAAACCCGAAGCCTTCAGCCACCCCGAAGCTGAAGCCAAACGCACCACCAAGCTTGCGAGCAGGTAAAAGAATGCAAATGTTCCATAGCCTGACTTTCGGAGCTCATGAGTTCGGCTAAAGCTAGACATCCAGTGAATCGTGCCCTTTTCATCTGTTGATTCCTGTTGCATGTACTTCTAGAACATGGCTTTCCTGCTGGCTTGTTTGCATTATCTCGAGTTCCCATCGCTAGAAATTGGTCTTAGTGCACGCTGTTTGTTGCAAGGTGGATGACGAAGGTAATGATACGGCGAGTGTTAGTAGTATTACCACTACCAGTATTCTTGTGATGCATTAGTGGGATGGTTTTCATGGTTTCTGCTACCCTGCCCCTTTTTGCTAAATGATAATCTTGTCTGGTTGGGTTATTGAATTAATCGCACTCACCCTGACTCCGATCGTTTCGTTGGCTTTCTGATTGTGACACTGTCGGTACAGTATTCTCGTCTATTCTATGTTATTGTTGCAGTCATAAGTAGTATCGCTGTAAAATTCGAATTTTCTCGGTGACTCTTGCATTCGCCTCGGGGCGACCAATGGGACCCGTAATATCAAAGCATTTCGGAACCCTTTGGTCCAGAAATGCCTTGAAAACGGAGTTCAATCAGGCAAAAGCACACAAGGGCCGTTTACAGTGAGGGATGGGAACAACTAAAGCCTCAAGTAGAAGCACTCTCCCTATTTCTTCATGTCTCTCTCGCTCTCTCCGGTTTGGGTGGGAGGAGCATCCGAGACCCTTTGTTTTGCAACTGCAACGCATAAGTTGAACAGTGTTCCCTCAAAAAACCCTGGCCAAAATTTTCAGGAAGTCCCGGAGGCAGGTTGCAGGAGAGTATGGACTGCCAGGGAACTTCAGCAGGGGCCCTGGGGCTGCGGTGGTCTGGCAGGCTGCAATGCCATAGAACGTACGACTGCAATGGGCGGCAGGCTGCAGGAGCCACAGGAGTATGCACTGCAGTGTCTGCGGTTGCTGCAAAGCGAAGGGGTCCGAGATGGCTTGTGAGAGAGGGCCTGCCAAAATCGGGGGGAAAGCGACCAAGTTGCCTTCTGTGGCGGGGGCTGGGGCACTTAGTGGTTAATCACCCAGCCTGCTATTCTGATGCTCCGGGCCTGGCGTAGCACAGGGCGTTCGCTGTAGCACACGGTGCCTTCAGCTCCGCAGGCCGCTCATCTCAAGCTGAGCTGGATGATGTCGTTCGGCAGGGACGCCAAGCGGGGACGACGACGAATTAGCAAGCGGAGTCATCGTTAGAACCTCTCCGTCGCACCCATTCAAAGCGTCTTGTGAGTCTTGCGAAGCTAAGGCGCATGTCCGCCTTTTATCGATCTGTCAGCTATGGCCCCTTTCTGGCCTGTTATTCTGAGCATCG